AACTGAATAGTCTAGTGGTTTTCCCTACTTTCTTCAATTTAAGTCTGAATTTGGCAATAAGGTTTTCTTTTTTGTGTTGTCTTTGTCTGGTTTTGGTATCAGGGTGATGGTGGCCTTGTAGAATGAGTTTGGAAGTGTTCCTTCCTCTGCAATATTTTTTAAGAGTTTTAGAAGGATAGGCATTAGCTCTTCTCTAAATGTCTGACAGAACTCTCCTGTGAAGCCATCTGGTCCTAGGCTTTTGTTTTTGGGGAGATTTTTGATCACAGTTTCAATTTCCATGCTTATAACTGGGTTGTTCATAATTTCTGTTTCTTCCTGGAAGATTGAACTTTTCTAAGAATCTGTCCATTTCTTCCAGGTTATCCATTTTATTGCCATATAGTTGTTCATAGTAGTCTCGTCTCTTATAATCCTTTGTATTCCTGCACTGTCTGTTGTAATCCCTTTTTCATTTCTAATTTTGTTGATTTGATGATTTCTTGATGAGTCTGGCTAAAGGGTCTGTCAAGTTTATCTATCTTCTTAATGAACCAGCTTTTCATTTTATTAATCTTTACTATTGTTTCTTTCATTTCTTTTTCACTTATTTCTGCTCAGATCTTTATCATTGCTCTCCTTCTACTAATTTTGGGGTTTTTTTGGTTGTTCTTTTTCCAGTTGTTTTAGGTGTAAAGTTAGGTTGTCTATTCAATGTTTCTCTTGTTTCTTGAGGTAGGATTGCATTATAAACTTCCCTCTTAGAACTGCTTTTGCTGCATCCCATAGGTTTTGAGTTGTCATGTTTTCATTGTCATTTGTTTCTAGAAGTTTTTTTATTTCCCTTTTTATTTCTTCAGTAACCTGTTGGTTATTTAGAAATGTGTTGTTCAATCTCCATGTGTTTGTGTTTCTTAGTTTTTTTTTTCTTATAATTGATATCTAGTCTCATAGCGTCATGGTTGGAGAAGATGCTTGATACAATCTCAATTTTCTTAAATTTAATGAGGTTTGATTTGTGACCCAAGATGTGGTCTATCCTGGAGAATGTTCCATGTGCACTTGAGAAGGTGTATTCTTCTGCATTTAGATGGAATGTCCTAAAGATATCAATGAGATCCACCTCATCTAATCTATCATTTAAGACTTGTGTTTCCTTATTAATATTCTGTTTTGATGATCTGTCCAATGGTGTGAGTGCGGTCTCCTACTATTATTGTGTTACTGTCAATTTCTCCTTTTGTATCTGTTAGTGTTTGTCTTATGTATTAAGGTGCTCCTATGTTGGGTGCATAGATATTTACAATTGTTATGTCATCCTCTTGGATTGATCCCCTGATCATTATGTAGCATCTGTCCTTATCTCTTGTGATCTTCTTTATTTTAAGGTCTCTTTTGTCTGATGTGAGAACTGCTACTCCAGGTTTCTTTTGCTTCCTATTTTCATGGAATATATTTTTCCATACTCTCACTTTCAGTCTTATGTGGCTTGAGGTCTGAAGTGGGTTTCTTGTAGACAGCATATATATGGGTCTTGTTTTTGTATCCATTTAGCCAGTGTGTGTCTTTTGGTTGCATCATTTAATCCATTTACATTTAAAGTAATTATTGATATATATGTTCCTATTGCCATTTTCTTAATTGTTTGAGGTTGACTTTGTAGATCTTGTTCCTTCTCTTGTATTTCTTGACTATGTAAGTCCCTTTAACATTTGTTGTAAAGCTGGTTTCATGGTACTGAATTCTCTTAACTTTTGCTTGTCTGAAAAGCTTTTTATTTCTCTATAAATTTTGAATGAGATCCTTGCCGGGTACAGTAATCTTGGTTGTAGATTTTTCCCTTTCAGTAGTTCAAATATAGCCTGCCATTCCCTTCTGGCCTTTCAGAACTCTGCTCTTTTCAGCAGAGTTTCTGCTGAAAGATCCAGCTGTTAAATGTATGGTGTTTCCCTTGTATGTGACTTGTTGCTTTTCCCTTGCTGCTTTTGGAGTATTCTTTCTTTGTGTTTAGCCTTTATTAGTTTGATTAGTATGTGTCTTAGCATGTTTCTCCTTGGGTTTACCCTATATGGGACTCTCTGTGCCTCTTGGACTTGATTTGATGATTTCCTTTTCCATCTTGAGGAAATTTCAACTATAATCTCTTCAAAAATTTTCTCATAGCCTTTCTTTTTCTCGTCTTCTTCTAGGACCCCTATAATTCGAATGTTTGTGCTTTTGATATTGTCCCAGAGGTCTCTAAGGCTATCCTCAGTTCTTTTCATTCTTTTTATTTTATTCTGCTCTTCAGAAGTTATTTCCACCATTTTATCTTCCAGCTCACTGATTTGTTCTTCTGCTTCAAATTCCTTCAAGAGTATTTTTAATTTCAATAATTGTGTTGTCTCTGTAGGTTTATTCTTTAATTCTTCAAGGTCTTTGTTAACTGATTCTTGCATTTTCCCCATTTTGATTTCAAGGTTTTTGATCATCTTTACTATCATTATTCTGAATTCTTTTTCAGGTAGTTTGCCTATTTCCTCTTCATTTATTTGGACTTCTGTGTTTCTAATTTGGTCCTTCATCTGTGTAGCATTTCTCTGCCTTTTCATTATTTTTTTTTTAAACTTATTGTGTTTGAGGTCTCCTTTTCCCTGGCTTCAAGGTTGAATTCTTTCTTCCTTTTGGTTTCTGCCCTCCTAAGGCTGGTATAGTGGTTTGTGTAAGCTTCGTATAGGGTGAGATTTGTGGTGAGCTTTTGTTTGTTTTTCCTCTGATGGGCAAGGCTGAGCGAGGTGGTAATCCTGTCTGCTGATGACTGAGTGTGTATTTTTGTTTTGTTTGTTGTTTAGATGGGGCATCCTGCAAAGGGTGCTACTGGTGGTTGCGTGATGCCGGGTCTTATATTCAAGTGGTTTCCTTTGTGTGAGTTCTCACTATTTGATACTCCCTAGGGTCAGTTCTCTGGTAGTCGAGGGTCTTGGAGTCAGTGCTCCCACTCTAAAGGCTCAGGGCTTGATGTCTTCATGTCCTTCTTCCTCCAAGTCCGTGAGTAGTTTCATTGCTTGTTGCAAGAAGAAAACCCACCAGTGGGGAACTATGGGCATCTCAGTAAGAGGGTGTTAGAGTGTACAGCACAGGGAACTCTACCTGGGGCTCTCTGGTTGATCCCTTTAAGCACATAATCAACATCACAATAATGAGACAAACTGATACCATATACCGTTGTCAGTGTTTACAACGAGGAGAGACCAAGTTGATGTGATATGTCTTCTAGAAGAATCCAGCATCTGTGGTAGTTCTTAAGACAGGTTAAGTTTTCACTTTTTTTTGCAGACACAAGTCACAACCTAATGAGACTGAGGGTGTCAGGTTGGATGTTCCACCCTTTGTGTGGGAGACCCTTCTCTTCCTCTTGGTATTAACCACAGGTGACACCTTCAAGGCAACTGGAAGGTAGAGGTCCACAGACATCCGGGGTCCTCAGCCTTGGCTACCCATGAAACCCTCCTGGAGGGGCTGACAATCCAGATCCCGGACCTGGTGACCGGGATCACCAGATCCCTGCAAGGACCTCGCAGGTGCAGTATGGCTAAAACTGCTGATGCACAAACCACACACGTGACTTTGGAGCTGGCCCCTCCCAGACTCAATACCGGAGTATCCAACTGTCACCCAGATTTCCTGCTGGGCCCCCGAGTGTCTGTGTCACAACCAGGGGCAGCGTGAAGTCAGCCCCAGGGGAAGTGCGGAGCCACAGAGTCAGAGGCCCAGGAAACCCACTGGCCCTGGAAGGCAGGTCTCAGACCCCACGGAGGCTGGGCTCCAGGGCAGGAGTGGGTGCTACCAGGTCTCCAGGCTCCCACCCCGCTAGCACCTCTCGTTCCTGGCATGAAGCTCCCAGGGCAGAGTGGCTTGACCAAGGGCAGAACAGTGGAGCGAGGGCACACACAGTCCCCTAGCTGTGATTGTCCACCATGCGGTGATGCCCACTGGTCACCACTATACCCTCTATCACCAATGGAACAAAGGAAGAAGCTACGTTCCCATTTAGGTCTTTGAGACATGCAACCCACAGGAGACATGCAACCCACCCAACTCTCCAGGTGGGTCCAACTCCCACCCTCTCCCTTGAGGGGACACTGTCCATAGAAGACCATTCCTGTCTCCACTGCCTGGCAGGCCTAACACTGTCACATATGGGCATGTGCAGGGAAGGGTTTCTAGACCTGGAGGCCTGGCCCAATGGAACAGAAAGCATCTTATTTAGAAAGCACTCACTCACTGCACAGGATGGCACAGTGAGCTGTTAAACGCGGATTCTCCCTAAGTGAGTACAGAGGCAAAATACCCCAGGTTTTTCACAGTTAAGCCTAGACCAGATCCCCAGCAAATGGGTCTCTGTAACCTCAGTCAAGGCTTTCTACTACAATGCTGAGGGGCACACTTCAGGGAAAACCAGTGTTCTGGCCCTCCCACCTCCCACTTTAAAATAAGGGAGCTGAAGCCCAAAGGGAAAAATTTTAATCCAAAGACTCCCCTTCCTCCCTTAAACCCCACTTTACAGCAAAAGCCCAAAGCAAAGGGTCTTCATTCCCACCCTCCCTGCTGGGAAGGGAGCCAAGGTCAGAAGCCTGCTGTCCTTGCTCCAGACAAGCACACTTCCACAGTGCCACGCCTGCTCTCTACTGCAGCCCCAAGTCAAAGTGGGACCCATCACATTCTGATAGTAAAATTCAAGCAGAGTTAGGCTGGGATGGAGTCCATACAAAGCGGGAAGGTAGAAAGCATGCACAAAAACAAAACTATGCTTAACTTACAATTTCAAGTCATTGAAAATTTTGGTCTTTTTTCGTAAATGGTAATACACATATTTTTAAGACTTCCACATTTTAACTCCCCAAATCACATTTTTAAAAGACTCCCTGCCAATGTCCTCCCCCTCCCCAATCTTACCACTCACAGATCCCACAAACAAACAGTTAGCCAGCAGGTTAAGGAACAGAAAAGGCATTCAGTGAAGGAAAAATGCATATACCCACCATTTAATTGTATACTTGAGGTTTGGTTGACTGACTGTGCTATCATCTAGGAAAATAGTCGAGCAGGAGCTGTATTTCCTCGCTATTTGTCCTGGAGGATGCTACAGAAACAATGGCAACAAGACAAGAACAATTAAAAAGGGGCTCAAAATTCTTCTGAGGACCATCATCCCCTTCACCTTGAGACCAGCCTATAGAGGAAAAGTCTCTAACCGAGAAATGTTAATACTACCAGCAAGTACAGCACAAAACTCACTTTCTTCCTACAATGGAATTCCATGTTCTTCCATATAAAAAAATCACCACCACCACTCCCAGTCCCAAACCTCCATCAGCTCAGCACACTCCCAAAATCGAGCATCAAAGGGTGTGCTGCAGAGTCCATAAAAATCACTGAGAAACAAGCAGCATGCGCTCATCTCACCAGCAAAAGCCCATGCTGCAGGGGACAGCCTGGTGTGAGGCGCCAGAATCAAGACAGGAACCCACAGCACCCATTTTTTCCTACCCCCGAGGTACAGTTGATTTGGGGACCATGGAAGATGCAGTCACTGTGGATTAAGAATCTCCTACTCTTCAATTTCAGGAGGTGAAGATGTAAAGAAAAAAGTACTCCTTCTTTAAGGGCAAAATACATTTTAAAGGTGAAAGTCATCTGATGTTTTGAAAATATGACCAGTGGAGGAGCTTCAGGCGGGGCGCCTGTGGCAGCTGTGTACCTGGTTCTTTCAGGCAGTGTAAATTCTGAGCTCTTTGGAAAATCTTAGAACTGAGAAGTATACTTCTCAAACATACTGTTAGAGAAAACAGAATTGCAATTACACGCAGATGACAGCTAATTGAACAGTAAGTAGATTTTTGGCAATTATGTGGGCAATGTGATTAGTAGATATCAGTCTGGATCATTCTTGCTCAAAGCATACTAAAAAAAAAAAAAGAATCAAGTCATCCAAACGAGTTTCGGCTGGCCTGGTGCTATGCTGACAATCAAGTGTCACTCTCAGCAACCACAGCAGTTCCTTCCTTCAGGACAATGGCCCTGCCCCGACTCACCTGCCCACCCCCAGGGAAGCACTCAGTGCCCACGGTTTATGAACACGAAAGCAGCCTTTGAGCTCGTCAGAGGGCAAACGCCCTGTTTAACACTGACTTATTTAATAGGGTTTCCCATGTAATTAGGGCTTCCCTTGTGGCTCAGCTGGTAAAGAATCTGCCTGCAGTGAGGGAGACCTGGGTTGGGACAATCCCCTGGAGAAGGGAAAGGCTACTCTCTCCAGTATTCTGGCCTGGAGAATTCCATGGACTGTATAGTCCATGGGGTTGCAGAGTTGGACACGAATAAGCGACTTTCACTTTCCCATGTGATAAAATTATGGAAATATGCAACAGCCTAAGAAACAGAAGACAGCATTATAAACAATCTCCCCCCAGAGGGATCGGGTGGAGAGGGAGGTGGGAGGGGGGGACCGGGATGGGGAATACATGTAAATCCATGGCTAATTCATCTCAATGTATGACAAAAACCACTGCAATGCTGTAAAGTAATTAGCCTCCAACTAATAAAAATAAATGGAAAAAAATAAACAATCTCCCCTCTTGCTAATCGTCACTCCTTGGGGCATACAGTTCCTAAAATCCCCGCCAGAGGGCACTGCACTACTGAATCGCTAGGACCCTCCTGAGGTGGCTTTTACAAAAGCCATGTGGGTCAGGAGGAAATAACCAGAGTCAGGGAACTCAAAAGATAAGGCTAGTTCTTGGCCAGTGTGTTTAGGCACACATTGTTCTGTGCCTGTGTAAGATAAGGGCACCAAAAAAGCCTGTCAAGTTCAAGTTACCTGAGTGCAATTTTAACATGGCATTTTTCACGTCTATCAAATTAATCACGACAGTTTCATTAAGACAAGTCGGAGGCATTAAAAACCATTTTGATCTCTTTTGTGGGTCAGGTAGCAATCACACTTGAGTCACAGACAAAAACTTGCAATCTAATAATAGTTATTAACATGTGTGGCAAGTTTTAAAAATCCTTATGAAATTTTCCCCACCAATGGAAAATCTACCTGAAACAGAAACCTCAACAGATATACTTAACACCAAAATTCAGTAATTAGTTGATATGTTAAAGAATCTTTAGAGATACAAGAAAATTATTATTTAGGAATAATCACAACAGTGACACAAAGGACAGCAATGACTGGTTTCTATTTGTGAGGTTTTCTTTTTTTTTTTTAATTTGTGAGGTTTCTACTGTTTCCTCTGACACAAATTTCCTCAAGATGAAAACGTGATGGGAACAGCCAAGAGTAAATGGTTTCCCTAAGAAAACATGAGCACTAGAGTTAAGGAGAGGAGGTCGGTGACGCACCAGGTCACAGAGTGGGCACTCCCTCGTCCTCCTTGCAGGAGTGCAGTGCCCTTTGGGGTCACAGGGTTAACTGGAAACCAGTACCCCCCAGGAGCTGGTCCTGGCCTGAGATCTGCCAGCTGTTGGCCGGAGCCCTTTATCACTAAGGGCTGGTGTGCCAAACGGCGTTGCCAACTCAGCTTTCTGACTCTGCAGCCCCATGGACTGTAGCCCACCAGGCTCCTCTGTCGATGGGATTTTCCAGGCAAGAATACTGGAGTGGATAGCCAATCCCTTCTCCAGAGGGTCTTCCCGACCCAGGGATGGAATTCAGGTCTCCTACAGTGCAGGCAGATTCGTTACCATCTGAGCCATCAGGGAAGCTCCCTTCAAACTATTTAGTAATTTCCAAATTGAATATAAGTCCTTGGCATTGTTATAATGGGGTTAAGTTTGAAACCGTATTTGGGCATTAAGTCATTTGCTGAATAGAAGGGCTACAAGGTTCACAGAATGTATACTTCTCTTGATCTGACATCCACCACCCCCCCCACCAAAAAAAAAAAAGCTGAGAGAACAAGGATCCCTCCACAGAAAGGCTTCTGCGCCCAGGGCAGCGCCCCTGCCTGGTTCCTTGTTTGAACTCTCGGGTGGCAGAGGCAGGCAGGGACTGTGCTCAATAAATCTGTACTCTGTTAAGAGCAAAGCTCCCAGAGAGGCAAAAGCAAGGTTTAGAATTTTTAAAATTTCAGCTCCTGGACCACATTCACTTCATTCCTTAACTTCTATGGCTTAATACTTACAGAAAAACTATACCCGTACTCAAATACCAGAAAGACTTTGATCAGTTTTGCTGCTGAACTTGGAAACACAAAATTTACCTACAAATCTAATGAGCAATAACAATAATAACATCAGCATACTCAGATGGTGCTAAAATCACTTCTGCAAATCACCTTCTGTTCAGTCCACTAGGTAAACAGGCAGACCAGGAGACATTCTACGAGATCAGACAACTATGACTTCAAGACTTTTTCAAGGTCCCCCTTTTATTAGCTGGTAGATTTAGGGCTTGAACGAAATTCTTTTGGCTCCAAGTCCAGCTCCAAATATGGCTCTTGCTAAACTGATAAAGAACACTCTATATTCCTTTGTGAAGTTTTTATAGCTACCACCTGTCTCAATATTAAGACAAATAACTGTGATCATTTTGCTGAGGGTGAAGGAGGCTGGCCATTCAACTCCTGACTCACTCTGTTTTAATTTTTTCTTTAACTTAGAATGATCAATTCCCTTCAAGTACACTGTCATCAAGGGGAAGAGAACGTCACAGAAAAATTAAGCTACAGCAAAAGATGTGCGTTTTCCCTAAATTTCAGGAGAGAGATTCCAGACTCTCAGCCACTGACAATGCCACCCACAATTTATAATCAGAGACTACCGCATCTTAATTAAAAGATTCATTAAAACAGCTAGCCAAAACTTCAGCAAATTTTAAGCAAGCTATGAACTTTAAATAAAGCCATTTACGCAATCCTTGCTAAAATACCTGTGTCTCTATTGTAATGTATTAAATTTTCCTGTAACTGTTGATCTGATAATTACATCTAAAACATAGTGCTGATTAGAATATTAATCTTTATAATATGCCCTGGTTTAACTTACTGTTAAAACTCCCCCAAAGGGTTTATCCTCAAATAGCTTCAAGATTTAAAATTTCTAATAATTCTTTTAGAAGAAGCTCCTTTTACTTTGTAAGTCTCTCTTGGCAGTTCTCAGCCAGCGAGTGGTACCCTCTTTTCTAGCCAGGGGTTCCTTCTTTTGGCCCCTTCCTTGGAGGCGGTACCCAAAGGCAGCTTCCATCACTTGCTAGACTGTGTTACTGTACTGGAGCCAGAAAAGACCTTGTTTCTCTCCACCTGGTGGAAGCTATTTCCTGTTGTGACCATCACCCCTCACCTTTCCTCACATGGCTTACCTACACCCACTGTTTTTTCTTAAATAGTAGCCTCTTTAAAGATTGTCTTAGCAGCATGTACTAATAAGCAGCTTCTTCAGAAACTTGAAGGGTAAATTAAAAGAAACAACATCCCTCACAATAAAACAAACAAAAAACACAACGGGTTTTATAAACAAGGGCAAAGAATAATGGTCATTCCAGAGTTCAACAACAAAAGAAATAATAAATGTTAGCTGGGGCCCCAATTCAGAAAACAGTGCTCTCTGTCTTCAGATAAAAAGCTAAACAACTTGTGTCCGGGTGGTGCTTGGAATGACTGTCTGAGGACTGAATGGCCCAGGCCAGCCCCCTGGGCCCCGGGCTGGCTCCACTGCTCGGATGGCTGATTCTCTGTGCCTCACCTTCCCCATATGGAAGACTGGAGTGACACACAGTACCTCCTGGACACAGTTATCAAGCACATTAAACTAAAGAACAGAGTCTGGCACAAACATGGTATAAAATGTTGGCTAGACTGTACTGATGATTATTATTACCACTTATCGTCTCTTTATTGCCCTAACTTATGACACTCAAGTGTCTCAAAACTTGAAAAGCACAGCTGGTTATTAGCCTAATTGAACCTGCAGGTACTTCCACTCCAATTCTACTTCAGTTGGTTGAAACGGCACATTCTAGTGGCTTCTCCCAGTGTGGGCAGAGCCAAGATGCTACTGTGCAATGTGGTCTGGAGGGCACGCTGTTATCGGGGCATCTGTTGCATAAGGCAGCACAGAGATTTCTTTTATAGGAATGAGCACATCTGAGCACATTCCAGCAATTGTGCTTCCGCTCTTTGTGTCGGGGGGCGAGAGGCTGGCAGGGGTGAGAGGACACGCTGAGTCAGGGGGCACGGTGCGGGGCAGGTACCAGGATGGTGTGCCACAGAGCGTGAAGTCGTGGGGCGCAGGGGAGACATGTGGGGCGTGTGGCTGGTACGAGGGCAGACCTCCCCTCCAGCCACTTGAATGCGGCTGCAGTGACCAGCAGGGGGGGTCTACAGGCTCCTGGGCAGACGTGCGAAGCGGGGGGCAGTGTTCTAGTGCCTCCGGCACGTGAAGAGACGGGAATGAGGGTTTACAGAATGGGGTCAAACCTCCCACCTCTCTAGGTCCAGGCAGATACAGCTTTCAAAAAAAATCAAAAAGGGCATAGCAATTTCCAGCATATTTTCCTTAAGACACAGCTCATAATTTCACAGATGCTTCACACTGCCGTGGCAAAACCGGAGAGGGCCAGAAACAGGCCGTGAACTGCTGTAAGAATCTGATAAAAACTATAGGGCGTCTCTCCAACCCTGAGACCACTGCCTACGAGGGACTCACCAACCTCCTATGGGCTGAGTGTGGAGCCCTTTGGGTGCAAGGGTCCGGCTATGAATTTCTTTTCAACTGCATTTTGCCCAGATTTTCAAAGGGCAGAAGAGGCATACTATGGCTTTAAGTCTTTTTAGCACAAAGCTCCAGAGCCAAGCACTTCAAGATCCACAAATACTTAAATGCAGACAGTTTAGAAATCCTGAGAAAAACCACTGAGAAATCAAATACATCATTCTCATTTTCGATGAGAATTGATGGCATATACTTTTTTAGTAACACACCTACTTCATCAAGAGGCCTAAGTTTAGAGGATTAGGAGGTATGGCCATAGATCTCCTGGTGGCCGGGCACCACAGTCCTGAGGGGCAGCTTGAGGTCACCCCTGGGCAGGGTGGAGGGAGGCTGGCTGTACCCACTGATCAGAAGAGAAAGATCAAGGGTCTTTATGCCTGGCCAGCAGGGCAGGGAGACGCTGCTCAGAATGGCTGAGAGACTAGAGCTGGTTTTTTTTTTTTTAATTCGTTTTAAAATTCAAGTGTTGTCAAATTCATCCTTTCTTAGAGCATCGAAGGAACATGCAGACTCTGTTGGACCTATAAACAACAAGGGGGAAGAAAACATGTGTTTGCTTATTCAAATGGGATGGAGTTAGAAGACAGTCACTTGGGGGGAAGGGAGGCAGGAAAAGACCTGTGGCATCTGATGCCGCACTATCCATGCACACCCTCCCAGGAGCAGCAGCAGCCCGAAGCTTCAGGCCACACTGGCCCTGGCGATAAATGCCAAGCCGTGCCCATCCAGCCACAGGCCAAACAAAGCATAAGTGCCCTGCAGCCTTCTTCACACTCTTCCACGTGCAGACAAGATTCATGGACCACTTCCCCACCGCACACACAGTGTGGATGGTCTCTGGACAGCTATTACGAAGAACACAGGGGAACAGTTCCACTTACATGGTTAATGAAGAGACTCTTGCGCTTTTCTCTCACTGTGAAAACAAAAGATGCAACAGAAATGTTACACGCCTGCGTGCTAACCCCTGGCAGGTTGCTGAGGGCGGGCCTCTGTGTCAAGGTCCCATCCTTCCACCAACCAACATATCCAACTGCTCAATTATGACTTAAGAAATGATCTGCACACATGCAGATGTGACCTATGCTAAGAGTGCAGAACATAAAACCACATACACCACAGCACCCAACAAAACCACTGCGCCATAGTTAATGGAGTGGTAACGGCTTCCTAATAACTAAAGAAAACACTAACTAGTAAAGCTCATAAAATTCTGCATGCAGCCACTAATTAAGATGGTCAACAAAAAGCAGGACTATTTATTTCTAACCAAAACAGACCCATAAAGGCCCATACCATTAGGGTGAAATATGACACGACCTGGTGACTAGACAACAAATGATAACAATACTACCCATAACTGGATGAAAATACAGGACACTGGACGTCAGAAGCATCACTGGAAACCAGTTACTCTCTGCGCTGGTGCTGGGGGGCCTCCCAGAGCACCCTGCCCCCTCAGGGAGGCCGAGCAAACTCACAACAAAAGCACCCCTTCTCAGAGACCATTCTCACGCTGCTGTGTGTGTGACAGGGTCAGCACCCCACCTTCATTTCCCAGACCTCAATGTTTCTCAAAATGGGGGCCCTCAACCTCAAAGATGTAGAGGGGGGAGACAGGGAACCCAGAGGAGCTTTTTAACAACCTAGTATCACTGAGTTTTGCGTTTTCTTTCCTGAAAACTCCCTTTTGAGAGTATAGAGAGTAAGAGTCCAGTCAGGAAGATCCCCTGGAGAAGGGACAGGCTGCCCACTCCAGTGTTCTGGGGCTTCCCTGCTGGCTCAGACCGTACAGAATCTGCCTGCAATGCGAGAGACCCAGGTTTGATCCCTGGGTCGGGAAGATCCCCTGGAGAAGGGAATGGCAACCCACTCCAGTATTCTTGCCTGGGAAATCCGATGGACAGGGGAGCCTGGTGGGCGACAGTCCATGGGGTCTCACAGAGTTGGACACGACTGAATGACTGTGCACAGCACAGAGTAACAGCTGGACCATAAAGAACACAGAGTGCCGAAGAAGTGATGCTTTCCAACTGTGGTGCTGGAGAAGACTTCTCAGAGTCGATGGGACTGCAAGGAGATCAAACCAGTCCATCCTAAGGGAAATTAACCCTGAATATTCAGTGGAAGGACTGATGCAGAAGCTGGAGTGCCAACACTTTGTCCACCTGATGTGAAGAGTTTACTCACTGGACAAGACCTTGATGCTGGGAAAGACTGAAGGCAGGAGAAGAAGGACGACAGAGGATGAGATGGTTGGATGGCATCACCAACTCAACGGTCATGAGTTTGAGCAAACTTGGGGAGATAGTGAAGGACAGCGAAGCCTAGCATGCTGCAGTCCATGGGGCCGCAGAGTCGGACAGGACTTAGTGACTGAACGACAACATAGTAATCATTCAACGCAGTTAATAAGCAGGTCACTGGAGAGGACAGAGATCTATTTAAATCAAAGGAACACCAGCTGAAAGGAAAAGGGCAGGTGAGGCTCTTTCACTGAGTGTGGATGTGAGGTCCTTGCCTGTGAGGTGCTGCGCCTGGCGTGGAGAAGAGACCTGCGGCTGCTCCAGAGGGCACGCGGCTGCTGCAGACCCCTTGCCCACTCTTTCCAGGCTCCTGAGTGTGTCAGGTCAGCCCAAGTGCCACCAGTGACAGTGGACGCGAGTGACAGTCATTCACAGGCTTTAGGGTGTACTTTCCAGAAACTCCTTACTTCTAAGGAGCTCCCACAACCAGGTGAGAAAGTCTTACGATTAAGTGGACTCTAATTCCTTACTGTCAACAGAACTGAAGGAGATTAAGACTGAACTGCAGCGATCAGGAGGGATTCTGGATGATAAATCCCTTGGAGCTTTTGACACATAACCCAGGTAGCGTAGAACCTATGGATTCTTCAGTGTTTCACTGCAAACACATCCCCTGAATGGGGGTGGCGGGAGGAAGAGCCTAGTGGGAAGCGGAGGCAAAGAGGAGGAGGTGGTGGCACAGGAGGGTTCGCTCTGCAGGCTGGGAGACAGGGAACCGCACAGAGACGGTGTCGGCTCCTCTTCCTTGCTTTTAACCTGTGAGACTCAAGCAGATCCTTTACACTCAAAGAGAAGACCCAGCATTTGAGGAATGAAGGAAAAACAGAAGGACGAGAGTTGCCAACACCCCAACGGTCGGTGGAGGAGGGCAGGGTGAGAGGGAAGGGGTAGATGCACGTTCCTGACTCACACCCAGGGATCCTGTGAGGTCGGAGGACCCTGCCATCCGTCTCCCCCTGACAACCACGCCACGTGTCACCCACTTAAAAGGCTCTAGTGCCATTCCATGTGAATATAGGTAAAAAGCTTCTGACTGATGTTGGTCTGTGCCCTGAACTCACAGGAAGTGAGAACCGAATCTGAAAGTGTGCCAGTCATGTAAGTTGTTTTCATAGTACTATATTAAGTGCAAAAACTTGCTTTTGACTCTCATTTCTCATTGTCCCAAACCTTCACCCCACCACCGCTTTCCTGCCTGGCAATACCCTCCCCTCTCCATGGGCTCCCACTTCACCAGGTGAAGAAAAAAATGTCCTGCTTAATTTCCACCCCAAACATTCAAAACTTATCTCACAAGTATTTGATGCCTACAGTGATTTCTTCTTATACACTTAAAAAAAAAAAATAAATGCACCAAATTCTCTCAGATCTCATCAATGGCCTGCTTAAATCAAGATCACCAATATTATATCAGCATTATGCTACATCAAAGTTGTCACCTAGCCATAACTGAGGAATTATCAGTTCTTAAAATGAACTGCCTTAAATATGCTTGATTATTTTTCTAGTCAACTTAGGATCTTCTCAAAATGAGAGCTTAGCAATTTGACAAGAGTCACGACTAGAACCCCCAGGCCCTCAGCACTGTCACTACAACATCATTCAACAGATTCCTCCACTGCTTTTTTCTGCAGGAACAGGCTGCATTCACTGTACCATGTGTTTTATCTCTCCTTTGTAGCCAAGGGCCAGGCAACGGTGACATAAGTCAAGGGCTGAAAAGAGGGGAAAATCCCCCAGAAGAAATTCCACGCCACAGAACAACCAGCTTAACACAAGTATGACAGAAGGAAAACATCCACCCCTCGTGTACAGGTTCAATCTGGCTCTCAAATGACACAGCTGAGATAATGGTGTTTTTATTTAGAGTTGTATTATGATTTCTTTTTACATACTACCTAATACTTCTGATCTTTAGAGAATTTATGCAAATAATAAATTTTTAAAGGAAAGTTTCTGATTCTCAGGGTAGAAACTGCCTAGAACTATCCCAACTGATTGGCAAAATGAGGACAGTTGCTTCAAATAGTAAATTCTAAAAATATGACTTACTATAAAGTAAAGAAACCCCAAAGGGTAACCACCCAAACATCCTTAGTGGTCACTTAAAGGGGATTCTATCTATCCTGAGAATCACAGCAACTGGAAAATCAAGACAGGCTAGTTACCAACGTAAGTCTTAAAAAAAAAAAAAAAAAGGCAGAAAGAACCTACCGTCTGTTTGAGATTTACTGAGGAATATCGTGCTGGCCCGAGGATGGTCTGAAGGATTGAATTCCATGTTCAAATCTTTAAAGAAAGAAAAAGAAGATATATGAACATCTGATAACTAGAGGGAGTCAAGATTTTCAATTTTTTAAACCTTAGATTACTAAGACACTCAAGGATTCTGGAAGAAACCAACAGTTACTGTGTTAATAGATTCTTCCAGGTTCAACTTAGAACACTTAGCTATTTAGAAACTTGAGAAAGTCATACATAAAATTAGACACCTGGCTGGAGATCTATTAGCCCAAAACTCCATTTTCTTTTAAAAAGTCTGTTCTGCACCAAGTTTAACTACAAAAGAGCAGGACAAAGTCCTAACACTTAATTAAGGAGAGGTATGTGCTAAAACTGACTCATCTAAATCCACAGTTAAGCGAGTGGTATTTCCTTGTTAAATGTGATTAAAATAGGATATCTCAGCCAAATTGGTATCAACACACTCTGCTTAATTAAGACGGTTATTTTCTGAAAAGGTAAAATTAATCCTTTAGAGCAAAAGCTCACACTGCCCATCTGTGGGCATAATCAGGGCCACAGATGTGTTTTGTCTGATTCATTCATTTTTTTTTTTAATAAATTTGAACCCATGTATAATTTCTGTATTTCAAACATATATCACAAAGGGAAAAAAAATGTATTTCCAGCTTCTCTTGAGAAATCAGATCATTTAGCAACACCGGGCCCCACCCCAATGGTAGCAACTGGCAGGACCTAAAACCCCAGTGCCCAGTCCTCACCCTCTGCCCCACCACCCACTCCTTGGGGCTGTTCCTCAGTTCCTCCCCGCTACTGGCATCTGCCTTTGTAATCCTGCCTTAGAACAGTCTCCAAGGGTGACAGGCTTGTCCAGTATAAACAATCAGAATCCCATCACAAGGGAGTTTTTTCAATTAAAAAAAAATTCCATATGGAAAGAATGGTTAAGCAAAAGAAAAGAATAAAGTTACAGGAGGGAAGAGAGAAGACCAAAATTAATGGAAAGTCAGAACGGTCTTCAAATTAGCTTCCAACATCACAGTGAAAACTTTTGAGTTCCATTATTTCAATAAATTTGCAAAGAAATCTAATCAACACCAAGAAAAAAACAGAAGGGATCTTATCCTTAGCTTTAATAGTTCATCCAGTCAAAGATAAGAGGAAAGTTGTTGTTGTTGTTGTTGTTGAGGGCATCCAGGGCCCTCACAAGTAGCTTGCTGGGCTCAGGGCAGCCTCAGCTCTGGAGGGTGCTGGCGTGTCTGTGCTTGTGAGTTTTCTCTGGAGCCTGCCTTGAGGGAGAGAATGACGGTGTCTCAGCCTGAGGTGCCACCTGCATTAAGGTGTGGCAGCTCATGACCTGGCGGAAGGTGGGCGTTTGTGACTTGCTGGCGGAAAGAAAGAGAATCAGACCAAGAGAGCCCTCATGGTGCCTGTGGCCCACACTGGCTGGGGCCCTGACTCCTTGTTTGTTTTTGTGTTCTATCACTTCATTTAAAAATGTATATATCTACTGTATTTATTATTTATTTATTGGGGTGCCTCGGACCTCAGCAGGTGGGATCTAGTTCCCTGACCAGTGATCCAAGCGGGGGTCCCCTGCCTTGGAAGCACCGAGTCTTGGCCCCTGGACCACCAGGGAAGTCGCTCTTTGCTCATTTTAACTTGAGGATCATATCCTCTGAGGTGAGAAGTATCCACCTGCCAATCAGGAGAGAACACAAGGGCAATGGCTTCCAAGTCCGTTCTGAGTGGCAGGCAAAGCCTAGGTCTCTAAGCCAGTGGTCCCCAACCTTTTTGATACCAGGGACCAGCTTTGTGGAAGACAGTTTTTCTATAGATTTGGGTGGGGAGGATGGTTTGGGGGTGATTCAAGTGCATTACTTTTACTGTGCACTTTAGTATTCTTTGTTGTTGTTCAGCCACTAAGTCATGTCTGACTCTTTGTGACCCCATGGGCTGCAGCATGCCAGGCTTCCCTGTCCTTCAACATCTCCCAAAGTATGCCCAAATTCAAGTCCATTACATCGGTGATGCCATCCAGACTTCTCATCCTCTGATGCCCTCTCCTCCTCCTCCCCTCAATCCTTCCCAGGGACTTTTCCAGAGTCGGTTGTTCACATTAGGTGACCAAATACTAGAGCTTCAGCTTTAGCATCAGTCCTTCCAATGAGTATTCAGGGCTGATTTCCCTTAAGACTGGTTTGATCTCGCAGTCCAAGGGACTCTCACTAGTCTTCTCCAGCACCACAATTCAAAGGCATCACTACTTTGGCACTCTGCCTTGTACCCTGATGGCTGTCACAGAGACCCCTTGGAGGTGACTGTGCCTCAGAGAGAAAAGGCAGTTTTAGATGTGGAGTCCCTGAAGTTGACTTCAGCCCACTCCTTTTTTTTTTAAATTATTTTATTTTTTTTCCATTTATTTTTATTAGTTGGAGGCTAATTACAATATTGTAGTGGTTTTTGTCATACGCTGACATGAAACAGATCACCAGCCCAGGTTGGATGCATGGGACAAGTGCTGGGGCCTGGTGCACTGGGAAGACCCAGAGGGAGCGGGTGGAGAGGGAGGTGGGAGGGGGGACCGGGACGGGGAACACATGTAACTCCACTCCTTCTTTATGATGATGATACTTATTAAGCTTTCCAGGTGGCTCAGCAGTAAAGAATCCAATGTAGGAGACGCAGATTCAATCCCTAGGTTGGGAAGATCCCCTGAAGAAGGAAAGGGCTGCCCACTCCAGTATTCTTGCCTGGGAAATCCCCTCGACAGAGGAGCCTGGCAGGCTACAGTCCATGGGATCACAAAGGGTCAGACATGACTGAGCGCCTCATACTAATAGAACATTCTAAGAGTCTATCGCCAGACTTTCAGGTGAAAACAGAAATACTCGGTCATAATGCTTCAGTCTACTTTTCGGCTGAGTACAAGGCATGATAGGATCCCTTTATTCAAAACTGGAAAGAAACTGACAGAATTTAATACAGCAATGCTGTGAGCCCTCCATGTCTGTGGGAACTGCACCTGTGGGTTCAATCAACCTCTGGTCAAAAATAATACATTTGCCACACATGGGCATCTCTTTAAATAACATTTGTATTGCATATTTACAACACTGTATATAAAATTTACATAGCATTAGGTATTATAAGTAACCTAGAGATGACTTAAGGTGTATAGAGAGATGTGGTCGGTTATATGCAAATCCATGCCATTTTATGAGGGACTTGGGCATCCACGGATTTTGGAACCAATCCCCTGTGGTTACTGAGAAATGACTGTATTCTCCCATGCCACGTAGCCTAGTTTTTTCTGTCCTTTCCACAGATGTCATAGCCCTGTTTGTCTCGGCTCTTAAACCAGCACCAGTGCTATAAAGATCCCTGTGATGGTGCCTAAGGTAAGTGGGAGTTACAATCCATGACTGACGGTCTGGAAAACCAGAAAAAGGAAAACATGATGGTGCAGCAAGGCCTAAGCAGTGCGGGGTCTAATCAGGATAGATGAGGAGACATAAAAGACGATCTGCAAAAACCAGAAACTTTTACCTCCCACCCACTTTCTCCGCACTGCCTGGTCTCAGGCTGGTCATGTTCCAGTGACTCATCCAAGAGACGAGCTGTTCCTTTCGGGCTTGACAGCATCAGTGAGTAGGGGCCAAAGACTCAAGGACCCCGTGAGCACTCGGTAGTGTTTTAAGACCAACTGCAGTCAGCAAACAACCCCAACTTAACCTCAGATGATCCCATCAGGTCTGTTTCCTATCTTTAGACAAATGTATTTGACATGGTCATAATCTTAAACTTCTAATTTCAATTTTAGGTAGTCATATTGCTAAGTGTGACTGGGATCTGCAAATCAATGATGAAAAATCAACAAATAAAGCCTGTTCATTTTAAATCAGTTTGGTTTACTTTTATTTTTAGTCACTATTGGCCCTCTGCCTGAAGATCAGTGACTATCTCCATTCATTAGTGCTCCATTCATCAGAACCTGACCCCACTGTTTGCTCCACAGGTTGCCACCGGGCCAGCCCCAATCCCCGCATCCCGCATCCGCACCCCTGTTTATAAACCCTGCTGCTGTTGCCGTGGCAGCAAACTGCTGTGACTACAATTCCGCAGATTCCAAAGCCATCTTTTGTACCCCTGCTGACTTCATGTCTATTTTTCACAAATGCACTCACATTTGGTCACTTTCTGTTCTCACTCTCCTGGGGGCACACCTATGCATGGTGGGCCTCCAGCCTAGGTCTGTGCACACATCTGACTCACACTCAAGTGCTCTGTCTCTCCATCCACCTCTTTCCAAACTGCCTATCTTTCAGTCTCCTACTCACTCTTGTCCTCTCCCTGTATCTGTCTCCTCTTTCGCTCCCGCACCCTCTCTCCAGTCTCTCCACTGCCCCTTTCAAATATTCTTTGTTAAGATGAACCAAAGGAGAGAAAAGATCCTAAATGTTTAAGGCTAAAGAGAGACTGTTCTGCCAATACAGCAACTACATAAACTATAAGCTCTCACACTACAAGCACCTAGAAATCTGAGATAAAATATAAGACATCCATTGAAAAGCTTAGAGAGTAAGGCAAGGGAAATGGCTCGAGCCTCTAACCAAAGAGTGAAGTGGAGTCTTCTGGCAGAGCAAAAGCTGTCTGGCTGTGTGCCCTGGGTCTCGGGTTTCAACCAAGGTGACCACAAGTCTTGGTTCACACCAATTATTCTGACACAATAACCAATTCTATCCTATTTATTTATAATGTCCCGATTCAGGAAGTTACCTTATTTTAATGTCCTGCAGGGTAGGATATAAGCCAGTAGAGGGGATCTAAGTTAGAACAGATGCTAGAACTGCAACAAAAACTGAATTAGAAAACGAAGCTATCTATAAACCCACATGGAGCTGGGCCTCAGAAGGGGAAACGTCTCCCAAGCTCCCCACCGCCGCAGTGAATGGTACCCACTGGTCTGTCTGAATCTCCAGCACGGTTCTGGAGTTCCACTCTACTCTGCACATATAGTCCAGGGAACCCTGTGACAAGACTTT